AATGGCTGCCAATAATGTCTCTTGTTCTCTTCAAAATAGCTGTCTTTTTATTGTTCTTTACATATCTCAAATTGCCTTTCTGTATGGCTGTCATAACAGAGTATAATAGACTGGCTGACTGAAACAGTAGTTTATAATTTTAACATTTTGGAGGCTGGAGGTCTGAGATCAGAGTGCCAGCATGGTTGGGGTTCTGATGAGGGCTTTCTTCCTGGCTTGTGGAAGGCACCCTCTTGCTATGTCTTCACGGGGGTTGGGGAAGAGAGAGAGGGGGGCAGAAGAAGACAACTGAGAGTATTTTTTTTTTTTTTTGAGAATCTTCTCTTTAAAAATGTCTAACCCCAATATTGTGGCCCCACTCTTGTGACCTCATCCAAAAGGCTCTATGAGGGCTTCAACAGTGAATTTATGGGTGACGGTGACGGCACACAATTCAGGTCATAGCGCTTCACAAAGAGTTTCATTAATTTACCTGGCTACCAATGTTGTGTAAGTGAAATGATTTCAACTGTAGCATTGGCATCACTGGACGTTATTTGAAAAACAGTTCTGTTGGTTAAATGATATCTCTTTTAGTATTTTAAAATTTTCTTTGTTAGCATTATTTAGTACATTTCCTTTCATATGACTTCTACTGATGTGTTTATTTTAGAATCATACATTTTTATTTTGTTTTAGAGGTTTTAATGTTCATGCTGAATGTTTATGTGATTAAAAATTACTTGTAATTAGGCAAAAAGTAACCTTTTTATGTTGGAACCATTTCACAATTACAGAATTATTGTGAAAATAGCACAGAGAGTTCCTGCATATTCCAGAAAGGATTTTCCTTATTTCTAATTCCTTAAATTAGCATGTGACATTTTTCACAGATAATAACCCAGAATAAGTATTGCTATTGTTTGAATCTGGATTGTATCCCCAAAGGCCCATGTGTTATAGGTACTGTCTTCAGCTTTGTGCTATTGGAAGGTAATGGAAAACTTTAAGACGTGGAATCTAGTGGGAGAGTTTAGGTCACTGGTGGGGTGTGGGTGCTCTTGAAGAGGATCGTGGGACCCTGTTCTCGCTGCTTTCTCTCTTTGCTTTGTGGCTGCCAAGAGGTGGGTGGGTTTGCTCTGCAGCGTGTTCCTGCCACGATGTGGTACCTTACTGTAGCTCAGAAGCAATGGGGTGCACTGACCCTGGACTTAAATCTAGGTGACTATGAACCAAAATAAACTGTGCCTCTTTTTAGGTCTTCATCTCTGAAATGTATTACAGTATCAAAAACAGGTTAACACAGATACATTGTTATTAACTATAGTGCATACATTATTCAGGTTTTAGTTTTCACCTGGTGTCCTTTTTCTGTTCCAGCATCCTATCTAGCATGAAACATTGCATTTAGTAGTCCACATGTCTCCTTAGGCGCCTCTTGATTGTGAGAGTGTCACAAACTTTATTGTGGATGACCTTGAGACTGTTAAGTGCTGTTGAGTTATTTTGTACAGTGTCCTTCAATTGGGATTTGCCTATTTTTTAGCCTATGATTTGACTGAGGCTGGGAGGATAGTTCTGCCAGTGCTTTCTGGATTCAGTCATCGGGGAGGGAGGGAGAGAAGGGGAGAAATAAAAAGAGGGAGAGGAGAGGGAGAGAATGCATGTGTGTACACATATACAGCAAGTGCACGTGATGTAGCAGAATACCTTGCCATGTTGCCAGAAGGCAAAGAGAGCAAGAGGAATGGGTTCTGCAGACCCCCGGTGACCTAAGTTCCTCTGGCTAGGCCCATCTCCTAGCGCAGTAATGGCAGCCCTTTTAGAGCTTTCAGCGGTAAGCCCATGTGAGCCATAGGTTTGCTACTGTCGTCCTAGAGGTTCTACCCCTCCTGAAGTTCCCGGTAGTGCCACCCTGGGGACCAAGCATTAAATACGTGGATCTTTGGGGCAATTCAAGATCCAAACTAAAGCACCATGTACACTTTCTGCAGTTTATCTTGCTCTTTTAGGTTTGTGATATGCATTATTTCTTAGTGTCCTTTAAAACTGTCTCTAAACTACTTCTATGTTTCCCTTTTAGCATTGTGAAATGTCCCCAATAGAGAGTTCTCTCACTTTTGTTGTAACTACACATTATAGTAGCACTTGATTTAATAGAGTCCTGAGCCAGAAGGGCAGCCAGGTTAAACATGGAGGCCCGTGTTCTAATCCAGCACTTTTCTTCCAGTGGATTCATCCACCTGAGTCTGTTTAGGGTAGCTTTTCATCTGATTCTAATCAACTTTGCTTTTCAGTCTCTTCCATAATTTTGTCATGTTGAGTTCCGGGAGGTAGTGTGAGGGGTGATTTTAGAAGCTGGTTTGTTGATAACAGTAAAACCTGGCAGTAAAAGAATAAAGTAAATACTACACACAACCATAGTGCTCCAAAACACAATGGTGTGATTCTCCTTGTATGACATAACTACTTGAACTCTAGTGCCATTTACTAGCTGAGAGGCCTGGAACACTTTCTGTGAGCCTTAGTTTCTTCAGGTTGTCATAGATTTATTGGGAATATTATATAAAATTCCATTTAAATTTGACAATGGTGGGAGGGAGATGGGAAGATAGGAGAAGAATAAGATGTGCTGTGAACATGTACCAGCTCTCTATGATGAGTATAATTATGTACTGTGAACGTACTCTAATGAATGTATTGGTGGACGGCACTCACACCACAGTAGTCTTCTGTCTTTAGTAAATCCCTTCAGCTGTGCCTGCTGATCCAAATAGTTGGGCATTTTTTACTCAAATTGACACAGTCACTTACCTATCACAGAAGGGTGTCAGTGAATGATATTTGGAGAAGTAGTTAATACTTTTCTTCATACTAGTTAAATTATGAATGACAAATATAGACAGAATTGGATTTCATTTTTCTTTGATGTTTTTGGCCCCAATTCTTCGCTCCAGATCTAAGCAGGTACTTTCCCCCTTCTTCCTACCCTGATTTTCATAGCCAAGTTGACAGTTATGTCATTAGCAGTAAAATACTATTGATAGTATCTTAGCACTAAGAAAGGCAAAGGTACCGTGGAAATTTTATGAAAGCCTTTGCATAAGGGAAAGAAAAAATAAAACTTCAATGTAGGAAGGTACATGCAGAAAATGTAGCTGGGTAGAGTAGTGTATACCTGTGATCCTAGCATTCAAGAGGCTGAGGCACTCCTGCCATGAGTTCAAGGCCCATTTGAAATTGATGTGACCCCAACATCTTCAAGTACTGTGGTGATTAAACCTAACTGTATCAGGTTGATTGATTTGGGTGCTACCTAAGGGTTAGGAATGGTATGTGGCTGCACAGGCCATGAAGGCATTACTTTGAGCACTGTACCTGGTCCCATACCCTTTCCTCCCTGGCTCTGTTCTACTGCCCTGATTCCTGGTAGCCATGAACTAAACGTCTTTGCTCCAACAGGCCCTTCCATCATGATGTTTCTGTCTTGGAGCCAGCTGATCATGGGCTGAATCCCCTTAACCTTGAGCCAAATTAAACCTCTCCTCCAGCATCCTGTTTAGTGGCACACAGGGATGCTCAAGCATGAGGATTACAAGTTTGAGTCCAATCTGGGCAACCAAGTCACTGACTGAGATCATGACTTGCAAACAAACAGGTGGTGTAGCTCAATGGAAAGGTGGTGGGTTCAATTACCAGTACCACTAAAACAGAACAGAACAAAACAAAAACAAATAGCCACCTTTAAATTGCAGTTTTGAATGAAAGTAGGTAGTTTAATTTTATGTGGATCTGGTTAGTAGTAGTGGCAGGTAACTGGCAGAAACAAATGTAGACCTTTTCCCTAAGAACTGAATTTTGCTGTAGACAAGTAAAAGTTGCTGTCAGTGAATGTAAGATGCATCTTTCACAGATATTCCATGATGAAATATGTGTATACGAGAGTGAATGATACATATTGAATGGAAATAAATAACCTATGGTGAATCACATCCTCAATGTCTTTTTCTTATGTTTATTACCACTTGGCTTGCTTCTTTGTGTCTCTTCTTTTGCACTGTGGGGTCTGCTATTGTGTTAGACATTCCCATAGGTTAAGTTCATTCTATAAACTGTTGGAGGAGGGAATATATATGTGCACATTTTTGAATGAATATACCAATCCTTTAAGTGGTTTCTTTTACTACAAGGAGTGACAAAATCTCACAGTTTTAAAGGAAGCTTTTGTTTTTGGTCTTAGCAAGGATGCCCAGTAGAATAGGAAGACTTGGTTATGTTTCTAGTAGCATATAAATGACTTATGAACTCTTATGGACCGGGCCTTTGCCACTGAAGTTATCTTTCTGCAAGCTCAGGAGCTTATCTGACGTGCTGTCAGCCCAGGATGGTAATGCCCAGGTTGTGTCTGAAAGCCAGAGGATTCTGTCTTCCTCTCCTTTCCTGCATTAATAATTCTGTGGACAAAGAAACTGCTCCATGTATGTCTGTACTTGGGGCTCTTTCACTAGCTGCAACAGGAAATCAAGCCGTGTTGCTTGAATACATCCACTTGAGTGTCACAAACACCTTAATTTATATTTACATACTGAACTCTTAGTATCTACCTTCTTCAGCTATCTGCAACCTTTTCTCCTTGTTTTTCTTTTCCTCTAATTTCCCCACCTGCAATCTACCACTTGCTCAGACTAGTTACTGGGCAGACATCTTCCATCTTTCCCTTTAACTTCCATGGTACCAAACCTGATGATGTCCCCCCCTAAATGTATTTTCATCTATTCATTTTCTCTCTGATTCTACTCTATTACATTAGCTTTAAATTACCATCACATTTTTTTTTTTTGGACTATTTTAGGAGCCAGCAAATGTGATTTTCTCTTTCCTTTGTTCTCTGTCCCTCTACCTTTCCAACGGCAGCCCACTCATTCTCTACACAGCAGTTAAATTATCTTGTTTTTAAAAAGTTTTAACATGAACAATTTTGAACATATAAAAAAAATTAAAAAGGATAGTATACTGAAGCCTTATATATGCATCATTTACCTTTAATAGTTGTTCACTCAAGACCAATTTATTTCATGTATGATATATCCCCAGGTTATTTGTAATCATATTTTAGATGCGTAGCTTAGGTTGAGGCAGGAGAGTTGAGAGTTTGAGCTAGCTTGGGCTACATGCTGAATTTAAGGCCAGTCTGGGTTACATAGTGAGACCCTATCTAAAAAAGAAAAGGAAAGGAAAAATGGAGAAGAAAAGCAAAACTCAAAACTACTACCACCATTCCTCCTCCAACAAAAAACATTATTCCCCAAAACCCAAAGATGTTCTTACATAATTATCGCTTGACATCAAGGAGATTAATACTGACATAGAGCTGTCATCTAACCTTCATGCCTTTTATGACCTATTTTAGTTCACACGTAGAAAAGATAAGATCTCTTTTTTAAAAAAAATGTTACAAGACTTTTATACCTTTTGAAGTAACATTTATCAAATAACCTGTCAGTCTCAAATGTCCCATCTCATATATTTAAACTAGGACAAAGTGATCCTTTTAGAAAATTGGATGATGTCACTTCCTTGTTTAAAATCTGTCCATGAATTTGCGTCGTGTAAGGGTGAAGTTTAAGTTGGGCAGAGTGTCCTCTTTCACCCTTATTCATTGCCCTCCAGCCACAGCCTTCTCCAGTTTTTGACCTAGTAGGCCTCTGGCTCATCTGGATTGGAGCTTGCAGGTCTGTGTCTGGAGGGTACTTCTTCCTACTCTTTAAGTCCTTCTTCTAGTTGTTTACATTTTTTTAGTTGATGTTTCTTCTCACTTTGTTAGTGACTATGCCAGAATATTTGTCTTCTCCCCCATTTCTCTGTCTTGGGATCCTGTTTATTTATTTTTTTTTTTTTTTCATTCTGTTTCTGAGTTTGTAGTTTATTGTTACTTGATTTTACTCATCTGTTTCTCTGGGTTCTGAATTCCATTGGGATGAGCCTGGTCTACTTTGCTCATCATGGTATAATCTGCACTGAAGCACCAGGCTTGGCACACAGTAGGTGCTCAATATGTATTTGTTAAATTAATGAATTTGTTAAATTAATATACTATCAGTCCATTTGGGCTTCTATAACAAAATTCTTGAGTAATTTATAAATGACAGATTTCTCACCTTTTAGGAGACCTGGAAGTCCAAGATCAAGGTACCTGGAGATTTGGTCAGATGAGGGTGTGTTCCTCATAGGTAGTACCTTCTATATGGAATCACACGGTGGAAGAGGCAGAGATAGCAGGTCCTTTTATAAGGGCATTAATACCATTTACAACAGTGTAGCCCTCTTGACACCTCCCAAATGTCTCATCTCTTACATATCACTTTGCGAGTTAAGTTTCAACATATGAGTTTTAAAGGTACACAGATATTGGGAACATAACATGTACTATTCAGAAAATAGTCAAAGCAGAATATAAGGTTTTGAAGTAGATTTTTTTTTTTTTGTCTTTTTCTTTTTTTATCGGTACGGGGGATCGAACTCACGACCACACACTTGCAAGGCAGGTGCTTATGCTGCTGAGCTAAATCCCCAGCCCTGAAGTAGATTTTTTTTAAAAAGCAGCAATTACCAGTGCAGTGCACAGTGAAGGTGGCTGTGCTTGTTCAAGAGATGAGTGAGGAGAGGGGTCTTTGGAGAATATATGTATACTTTTGTTTAAAAATGATGATTTGTGCTGTTTATCAATTCAAATACATATATATCTTAGTAATGTCCAGTTGTTTGGGCTAAGTAAGCATCATTCAAGACTACTAGTGTCTCTTTTGCTATTTTTCAAGTATAACAGTTTTCATTTAAGTTTATGTAAATGAAGTCAAGAGTTTTAAGTGACACAGCTAACTGCCTTTTGTTAACTTTTTATGATATTTTCTCTGCCTTTTTCTACTTCTATCTATTCCCTTTTCATCTACCTCTTTTTAAAACTAAAACGTTAAAAGGACTGATAAAACAACAAAAAGCAGACATAACTTGGGAATTTTGTGTTTTGCAATGTGCCAGACTTCACCATTAATGTCTTTTGAAAATTAACCCATTTCTTAGACTATCTCTGTTTTTCCTCCTTCCTCTTTTTGACTCTCACTTTATTTGTGGAACAGCATGTATAGAACTCCTCAAAGGGATAATGGTGGCTGGTTTTGGTACATTTCTCTATAATACATGGTTCAGTATCTTGTGTTGTATATGTTTAATAATCTGAAGATTAAATAATTACTGATAAATTGGAAGGTCTCTGCGGTTCCTTAAAACTGAAGAGATAGGGGCAGGGGATTTAGCTCAGAGGCATAAGCACCTGCCTTACAAGTAGGCGGTCATGAGTTCAATCCCTGGTACCGATAAACAAAACAAAACAAACTGAAGAGATATTTGGAGATTTATATATAAGTTATTAATTTTTTATTATTTTTTTGTCCAAAATAAAAGTATTCAAGTTATTCCCTATAAGTAGAATGTACTACTAGAGCTATAAATGTTACAGCTTTTTGTAGCTCTGATGAGTCACCTTTTCAGAGAGATGTGAGCATAGTTTTGGTTGCTCCTACAGGCAATGAAGTTGTATGCTTCTGGTATTTATTTATGGTACCAGGGATCAAACTTATGACCTCGTGCCTGCCAAGCAGGTGCTTATGTCATTGAGCTAAATCCCCAGCCTTTGGTTTCTATTTATTTTGGCCATTAAGGTTTTCTGCTAAGGTAACCTGACCTTGCATTTAAGCAGTTAAAACAGAGTGTGTATATACAAATTCTGGATTATAGATTTCTCATTGACATTGAAAGATTCTTTGCTATTTATAAAATATGGCCCCAATTTAAAAAAACTTAAATGTACAAAGTATATTTGTTTTGATTAAAATAATTTTGTAGTCATCATAACAAAATAAATTTCATGATTGACTGATTAAAGCAAATATGTTTAAAAGAACATTCTTATTAGATTAGTCTAAACAATTGTATTGTTTAGAGACATAGTTAGATCCTGTGCTCGCAATAGAACTTATTGCCTAAAATCATGTTAAAATTTTTTTTCTGTTTATCTAGGTTGCCAATGTATTGCATGTAAATAACATTTTATTTTGTAACATGTCTTCAACCCATGAATATTTTTAAAAAACATGTTGTAAACCTACAAAATGCAAAATTAATGTTATGTGTGTATGCATACATGTGTATATATACATACACACATACAACGACTGTTGTGCAGTGTCATATTAAGAAATATTACTGTTGTAAAGTCTTTCCTTCTAAGGTATAACATATTTGATACAGTTTTTTGCTTTATTTTGAGACAAGGTCTCAGTATACAGTTCAGGCTGACCTTGAACTCACCATGTAGGCAAGCTGGCCTCAAACTCAATGAATTTTCTGCTTCAGCCTCTTGAGTATTGGGATTATAGGATGTACCACCACTGCATAGTTATTTTGATGTAGCCTCACAGTTACTACCTAAAATGTAAAAGTAAAAAACAGCATATTTTTAAAATGTAACAAATGAAAGTAAATGTTATTTGTGCTTATTTCTGCATTTCTGAGACTTACCTCATCAAATCAGGGAAAAGGACAGCATGCCTATTTGGCTATTCTTTCATTTTATTTCAGTGCTAGCTTTATGGATTTGTAAGGCACTCTAGGCTTAACAAATAGTTGTTAAGCACATTCTGTACATCAGGTGGTGTGCCAGTGTCTTAAGTCCCTTCTTTGTTGCTGTGACAAAATATTCAACACTTACAACTTAAAGGAGGAGAGTTTTATTTTGGCTCACAGTTTAGTCAGTAGTGTGCAGGCTCCAGGGCAGAAATGAATAGCACTAGGAGTCTGGCCTAGAGAAGCTGTTCACATCATGGTGACTAGGAGGCACGGTGCCAAGGTAAAGACAGGTTTGGGGTGGATAGTTTTAATATTAAAGTACAAAATTAGAATTTGTTGTTGATGTTTAAATGTTAAGGGCAGATTAAGGTAAATAATTGTATGTTCTTCAGTTAGACTACTGTATTTTAAGCATCGCACAAGAAAAAGTAATTCCTGGCTTCAAACTTGCAAAAAACCTTCTGACTCAATCACCTGACTTAATGGGATTATAGACATACACCACAGTGCCCAATGTATTGTCCAGCTATCTTATAGGATATATTTTATTAAAGATCAGAAAAAGCAAGATTACTTTCACTTTGACTTTGGAAGATACTTTTCCATCCTTTTTTTTGTTTTGTTTTGTTTTGTTTTTTGAGATAAGATCCTGCTATGTAGCCCAGGCCGGCCTTAAACTCAGATTATAGGTATGTGCCACCACACCCAGCTCAGTTTTATTTTTTAGAGAACAGTTTTAGATTCACAGAAAAATTAGAAAGATACTATAGAGTCCTTCTATTATTGTTTTGTAATAGTATGGTATACTTGTTAGAGTTAATAAAGCATGTCACTACATTATCATTCACTGAAGTCCATACTGTTTCCAAATTTCCTTCACTTTTACCTAATAATGTTTCATTTTTTGGTTCTAAGATCTCATCTGAGATTTTTCAGGTCTCCAAAGACTTTCTTCTTGGCTATGTTAGTTCTTAGATTGTCTCCTTTTTTGATCTCGATAGGTTTGAAGAATACTGGTCATGCATTTTGTAGGGTTCCCCTTATTGATATTTGTCTCAGAATTTTTCATGGTTGAACTGGTGTTTTGTATGGGATTTTGGAAGGAGATGTAGAAGATAAAGTGTCATTTTTATCCTGTCCTATCAAGCATACATAATGTCAGCATGATTTATCAATGTTGGTGTTGACCTTGTTCTCGTGGCTGGGGTATTGTTTGTGAGGTCTTTCCACTGTAAATCTGCTCCTCTCCTTTCTATCTTATAGTTGTTGGAAGAAAGTCACTATGTGCAACCCATTGTTAAGGAGTGTGGGGAGTTTTGCTCCCCTTCCTTTAGAGGAGCGTATCTGTGTAAACTATTTGGACATTTTTCCCCTTTTAGGTTATGTTACAATGATCATGCAAATAATGTACGTCAAGTTGTCACATCTTTTCAGTCAACGGAATCTTCATCAGATTCTGAGCAGTTAATTTTAAGTAGGAGATGCTTAGAACCTGTAGTAACTGACCACTTTAGGGATATCTGAAATTATAAGGGCAACTTATCTTTTGTAATTTCTTAATTACTTTTACAAAAGTAGGTGGATGCTACATTTACAACTTCTGTTGATAAAGGAAAAAGTATGAATATTAGGTGAGAGATGTATAGCGATCAAAAGATGAAGGTATGAAGTACACTGTAGTGATCATTTTGCATTTGGACTTGTTCTTTACTTTTCCTCCATTGAGAAATTCTGGCCTTCACAAGACTAGGTTACTTATACAGTGGTACATTGATTCACAAATTCTACGTTTCTGGTTGCAAGCTGAATTGGATAAGAAGCAAATCAAATTTCCCCATAAGATCAACAATGAGCCTAATTGTTGAATTTGATTTGATTTTCATCTAATTCTGTTTGCAGCCAGCATCATGGAAAGAATTTAATTCGTGAACTGAGGTGCGGATTCTGATGTGTCTGTAGTTCTTGCGTGTAGTATAGCACTCTTCATACTGAGTCACATTTGGTGAATAACTGACCTCCCTACTGAACTGAGAGCCTTAGAAGAGGAACTGTGCTCCATGCTGTATCTGTTGTGCCCAGCACATAATAGGCATATAAAATAACTGACCTTGCATATACTAACTCTTTAGAGCACTTCTAGAAATGTAAGGGTTAATAATATGCCACATATATGGGTAAATAATCTTAAAACTTTGTGAAAAGGGTAATATACAACTTGTAGAACAATAGTATTAAAAAAATACCTGTAGTTGTCTTATCTTCTTAGTTTTCTGGTCTGCATACAAGATATGGTATATTTGTGTATCAGACCCCTCATATGATTTAAATTGAAGAAGGTGACTAAACTAAATTATTAAAAAATACTAACCATGATTATCTGTGGGTTATAAGATTATGACAGATTTTCATTATTTTCTTTGTTTTCTAGTTCATTTCAAGGAGCTTATTATTTATAATCTGGACCTACCAGAATATATTACCTGGTGTTATTTTTTTTTTTTTAAATTTTTACTTCTTAGTAAGTTAGTACATGTTTGCAGTACATAATGAACACATTCTTGTAGGGAGTTGGTACATGCTACACATAGACATTTTAATTCTTTTTCATCCCCTCTCTTCCCCCTTTCCCCCTTCCTCCATCTCTTGGCCCCCTTCCCATTTGCAAAAGATCTTTTTCTCTATTTTCTTTTATTTTGCTCTTTACTTTTATTTTGTTTTTTTTTCATATAAGAGAAATTATACAATATTTAAATTCATGTGTCTGATTATTGTAACATTATGGTTTCAAGGTGCAACTGATTCAAGTTTAGTCTGCTTTATGGCAGAGTAGTACACCATTGTGTATAAACACCACATTTTCATATGTAATCATCGGTTGATGGACATATAGACCACTTGCAGGATTTCGCCATTATGCTATTAGCATGGACATGCTCTTAACATGGGTATGCATGTATCACTGTAATATGGAGTCTATAACTCTTTTGGGAAAATATCTGGAAGGGGAATAGCTGTGTTTAATGGAAGTTTTAGTTTTAGTTTTTTGAGGATTCTCCATCCTGATTTCCATAGTGTTTATGCTAGTTTGCATTCCTGCCAACAATAGAGAAGGATCCTCTTTTCCCTGCAGCCTCACCAGTATTTATTTTTTATTTCTTGGTGCTCACCATTCTTTCTGGATGGAAACTTAGTGTTGTTTTAACTTGCATTTCTGTAATGGCCTGAGATATTCAACAGTTTTTCATGTATTTATTGGCTATTTATAATTCTGAGAAATTTGTATTTCAGTTGCCCACTTTTTGGTTGGGTCTTTCATTTTTGGGGAGGTGTAATATTTTTGAGTTCAATGTATATACTAGATACTAGTCTGATATTAGTCTGAGGAATAGCTAGTGAAAAAAATCCCCTAATCTATAGGTAGTAAGCCCCAGAAGAAAAATGTTTCACTTCTAGGGGAAGTGCCCTTAGTAAGACAAGATAACTTGCCAGGTCACTGACTTTCTCATTTGCCAGGAGAGCTTTTAGCCGTTCAAAGTAGAAAAGTATAGTTGAACTTACAATTTTTTGTTCATGGTTAGGCTTTTTGAACGTGTTCTCTATTTTTTTTTTTTTTTTTAGTTTCATCAAAGCCATTCAAATAATATTTATCAGATGTTAATTAAAAAATGCCATTCCAACCACAGTGGTATGACTGTCATGTCTTAACGTGTTTTTAATTCTCTTCACTAATTTAACTTTTGTGCAGTTAGCCTATTAGAATAGACACTGAACAAATTGATTTTCCCTTAAATTTTTTTAAAGTATTGTAGATAAAAATTGAAGTCTAACCTGGGTATAACAGTTTATTCTCACAGGTTCCTTAAAACAAAGAAAATTCATTTTTTTTCTTTAATTGCCATTCTTTAGATAAAAGATAAGTCCCTAGGTTAGGTGAAAAATCTTTATAAGAATATCCTATAGTTTTTATAAATCCAGATCATTTGTATTTTTCCTTTCTGTTTCTCAAGGGTAATTAAGCAGTGATGGATTAGAACCAGGCTGCAGCAGAGAGATTGGGAGAAAATCTCCCGGCATCCCTTCCTGCGGAAGCATCCGCTACAGCAGTGAGCGTAGTTTAGCTGCTGCTTTAACTGACATGTCTTAAATTCTGCTCTGCAAAGCTCGGGCATGCTGGCAGCCGCCTCGGAGGCAACTTCTTTGCTTGTGCTGATAATTGAGAGTCTCATTGGAGACTCAGGAGTAAAACAGAAATTGAATCTTTTTGTTGGTTCCCATATTGAGGATTGTGTTTTCTTTTTGTTGGATTTTTAAAAAATCTGGTAGAGAGACATCTTCATAGTAGAACTGTATTCATTCCTCCAAAGTTACAGCTGCTCTAAATCTGTGAGTATGCGGTATTTATTCAGCAGTTCCTGGGGGCATGATTAAAAGATTCTTTTTAAATCTGTGAGGATTTAAGGAAACCTGTGTAAAAATTTTAAACCAGAGTTAAATGTCACTGGGGCATCCGCAGGTTTTGTTAGATGACGTCTTCATTAAAAGCTTCTGTCCAGCCTGATAGGATTTCCCCTCGCCCCCTCCCCTTCTTTACTTTCCAAGGCTGAGTGCCATAATCGGAGAAAACAGCTCCTCTTGGTGCTGCAGAGCCTCTGGTCTTTCTGGGATGCCGTGCCTGGTTTATGGCTGCTGCAAGGTGTGCATGGTGGGGGTTGCTGAGACTCCTGCTGCAGAACAATGGCAGGATGACGGTGGTTGACTTTGTGGTTATTGTATGTCCTCTGCTAGCTTCTTTGTGGTGTTTTGTTTTGTTAGGATGATTAAAATCTTAGCAGTTAGTAAAGGGGCATGCCCTCATAAATAGCTTGTGCTTGATCATCCTAGACCTGTACCTCTGACTGTAAGGTGCTGGCTTCAGTCTCTTTGTAGCCAATTACAGTGAAGGTAAGCTCCCCAAAAGTGACCTTTGTATGACTGCCCTTTTCCATTGTGTGTTGGAGTCAGTGCTAGAGTTTTGTCTTTTGGCTTCATTTGTGATGCAGACCCTGAAGTCTAAACATCTGTCTTTAGTCATCATGTCCCACTTTCAGCCTTTGGAATTCCCTGGCAGCCACGTCTATATCCTTGCTGAATTTGGAGTGAATGAATTTTGAGCATTTTCTAAGGATAGAGGCTGATTTTTTAGTCCAGCATAACCTTTATATGTTCTTGTCTTTGTTAAAAGAGAATCATATTATTTTAGTGAACTGATCTCATCCCTGTATCTTATTATTATTATTATTATTATTATTATTATTGTTATTATTATTTTTGGTACCAGAAGTCAAACTCAGGACCTTGTGCTTGCCAGGCAGGCATTGTACCACTGAGCTACATCCCTAGTCCTCATTCCTGTGTGTTAAAAACCACATTAAAGTAATGTTTAAAAAGTTGATGTATTCGGTAGTTAAAATACTTTTAAATACAAAACAGTTGTCTTTGTAGATGCAGAATATGTTTGACTTAGACTGATATATTATATGAGCTTTTTGGGTGTCCGGATTTTGGTTAACTTCCTGCAGCATAAAACAAATGAAGGTTTTTTCTTTTTTAACCTTGTTTTTTAAATTTTTTTTAACCACCCAGGGATCAAACATCTGCTGTCTTTATTTTTAAAAATTTTGTCATACCTAAATGCAGCTACTTTGAATTTGATGATGAAGGCTGCTAAAATTAGGAAATTCTGCCTTACTTAGACTTGCAAAAAACTTCTATTCAGGTATTCATTCATTCAGCAAATGTTTATGTTTGTTACAAACCTTTTACTAAGCTCTGAGGAGGTGCAGCTGAACAAAATATATTTGATCTCATGGAGCATCTGTTTTTAGCAAGTAAGGGGAACGTTTAAAAACTATTGAATGAGTTCATTACAATTGTAATTTTTTCAATTGTAGAAGTATAGGTACTTTGTGGCCATACACAGGACACATAAACACTTGCAAGTTTTTCTGTCTCAGAATCTGAAGCCACAGAATTTTTGAATGTTTGAGCTGGAATGACAGGTTAGGAGTAATTTTATGAGTTCAAGAAGCCTGTGATAGGCACTTGAAGTGCTGGATTTAGATTAGTAAATAAAAAATAATAACTGTTTTGGAAGAGCTCATAGTCTAGTATGAGAGAAAGGGAAATTAGTCATGTTAATAAATTTGGTCAGGGGCTGGGGATTTAGCTCAGTGGCCTAAGCGCCTGCCTGGCAAGTGCAAGGTTGTTAGTTGAATACCCGGTACCAATAAATAAACAAACAAACAAACAGATAAATAAATACAGTCATCATTTTTCCAACTTAGGGGTAGAGAAATGAACTAGATCTGTTTTCAGATGTTTTCTGTGCCAGGTCAGGTACTTGTGGTTACTCTGAATTTTTAAAATCTTTAACAAGTGGTTTGTCCCTCTGGAATTATATATGAAGAAAATGAGTAACACAAAGGTTAAATCCTATATTCAGGGTCATTGAAAGTGCTTACCACAATTCCATTGTGATGAAAGATGGCAAATCAGTGTCCCTTAAAGCTCTTATATCAGGTTCCTTTACTCACCAAGTTGACTAGTGGAGTACCTCGTTTCCTGTTTTGAGCCACAGTGTGCTTTTGGATATTATGCATCATGAAAAAGAAAAGTGTTTAGTTTTTTTTTATGCCTTATCCCCAGGGACTATCCTATCAATCTGCATTTGCTTTCCACTTGCTAACACTACACTTTTAAGTCTTTGGATCATTTTAGAAAGAATAGGGCAAGTTATACTTTATATATAAGAGCAGATTATACTTTAGTGGCAGGTCAGTTCAGGAAATGGACAACGTGCAGCCTGTGAAAACAATGCTAACAGAAAGGATCAAGGATTTCTTGAATTTTAGGCTCATGTCGCTGTCCATTACCATCAGCAGTTCCCAAGAGGTGGACTGTTCAGAGTTGCATGGACTTCATCAGTTAGAATTCTTGCATTTTTGAGAATTGATGAGGGTAGAGAGTAACTTTTCACGGGAGATGTTCTAGCAGAAGATTTTCCTTGATTCCCAAAACCATCTGTCCATTCCATTTCTAAGAGGCTGTTGGAAAGTGCTTAACAGGGGAGAACATGGCAGATAGATAGCAGCAGCTATGGAGGCTCTCTGAGATACCCCGCTTAGAGTCCAGGAATGGTGCGGTGTGAGGAGTCCTAAGCAGGGGGAGATGTACCCTGCTGACCCAGGAATGAACTAAGCTAAGAGAAACCAACTGGAAACATAATCCCGGTGCTATAACAGGAACAGATAAGGTCTCAGCGTGGAAGCTTGAGCCTGTGCCGATGGAAGCTGCGATTTGAATTTCCTGCTGCCGCTGCTGCGTCTGAATCGGCACAGCAGGGAGAGAGACGTGCGAAAACTCTTGAGAGTGGGAATTGGCGAACGGAGTTGAGAGCGGGACTGGCAGGGAGCCTGCATCGACCTGCGGTGAGTGAGCAGAACGGGGACCCTTCCATAGAGTAGGAGGCTTCAACAAAGGACATACTGGGACCGTGCAGACTTGCCGGAACAGGACGCTGCAGTGACTTTAGTCACATATTCCCCTCTCAAGCGGGATTGGTGGGGAGTGCCTGGCCTGGGTGATGCCGCTGACTAAGACCCAATAAGCTAGCCCAAACCAGGTCGCAGCACCTGGAGGTGCACCCTAGTGGTGAAGCCTTTGGTAGGTTGACCTGGAGGGGCGGGCCCAGCAGAGGCTGCCCAGGTCTGTGTCTCCCTAGTACACTGCAGTGGGTGGGAACACCTAGCCGGCGCAATTCAAACAAAGAGAAAAAAAAAAAAAAAAAAAAAACTGGGCCTCCTATATTCGCTTGTATGGAAGGAACAAAAAGTATGGGAAGAGGAAGCAACAAGAAAGGGCCCTCAGTCCCCAATCCTGAGAACACTGATCCAGGAAAGGTGAATGCAAAGGAGAATGAGGAAAGAAAACATGCAATATCAGACACGGCACCAATAGACATAAAGCGATATCTCCAGAGCCTCATAGATGAGTTCAAAAGGGAAGTATTTAATGAAATGAAGCAAGATATAAGTAGAATAGTTAGAAATGCTAAGCACTGCCCAAGAAAAAAACAGATGGTGGAATGGAAGAACTGAAAAAAAGGGGAGAATTGTTTAATGGAGAAAATAGAGAGAACGTAGAATATGTGAAGCAGATTCAAAGAGATTACCAGGAAACTAGAAACTCTATCGAAAGCTGGCATAACAGCTTGAAAGAAACTAAAGATAGATTATCTGAACTGGAGGACAGATTTGTAATGTGGGAGCATGAAATGAAAAACTTCTTAAAAATAACAAGAAAACAAACAGCAATAATACGAAGGCTAGAAGACGATAAGAGGATCTATAACTTAAGAATTAAGAACATAAAAGAAGAAGTAGGGACACAAACAAATGAACTACAAAGGCTATTCACAGAAATAATCCATGAGAATTTCCCTAATTTAGCAAAAGGTAAAGATACTCGGATGTATGAGGCATACAGGACTCGAGCCACCTATAACCCAAACAGAGCTACACCCAGGCATGTAATAATCAAAATTCCAGAAATCCAGTATAAGAACAGAATATTAAAAGCCGTCAGAGACAAGAAACAGATCACTTACAAGGGAACGCCCATCAGAATTACAGCAGATTTCTCGGCACAAACCATCAAATCACGAAGAGCATGGGGGGAAGTAATTCAAGCTTTGAAAGATAATAACCTCCAGCCAAGATTGATATATCCTGCACAACTGTCCCTAGAAATTGATGGAAAAACAAGGTGCTTCCAGCATAAAGAGGAACTAGGGAAATTTGCAACCACCAATGCAAGTCTACAGAGAATACTGCAGGATATTTTAAAAAAGGAAAATACCAAGATCCCAGAAACAGTGGCAGAGAGGCCACAATGAATGGAGCAGAAAGCGAAATGAAGAAGACAAACTGACCACAAACAACAGAAAAAGAGCTCAACAGAAATGAGGCAGAGAAGATCAGATGGTAGGAACAGCTATTTTGGAGAAAACAAGACATCATAATAGCTAGTGCTGATTTAGTATCATCTTGTTTTGAAGTCCCATCAAGCTTTTATTCTTCTGTCTCCATCGGCCTTAAGGTTGTATCTTATTGGGTTTTATTATATGTGATAATGTAAGCAAAAACTTTTATATAGAAACCATTGTTCATTTTCTGATAGTTGGTTCTAAATACCCTGTAATACTGTCATTCTCTTGAATGGTTTTACATTGTCTTGATATGTTTGGTACTACAGTATACGAAGTTATACTCAAAGATTTCAAGGAAAGAGACACTATGGTAACTACTTTTATGTCAGGATATCTTGTAGTGAAACACTATTTTGCT